TATATAAAATTGAAACTCAAAATTATGCCTCCGTTATCATTCCTTCTTGTCGTTTTTAAGTCATAAAGGATACATAATATTATATACGTAATTTTTTAAAACGTATATTAAAAGTGAACCTAAAAATAATTCTATAAAACTGCTGGTACAATAACTATTGTCTTAAAACTTTACTATAATTCTAAAGTACATATGCAACAGAAACATTCTTCTTTAATAAGTATAATAGTTATAATATTGAACAAAAGAAAAAAAAGATAATTAAGTCAAGTTTACTAAACTACTGTAAACGTTTTACTCAAACAAGGCAAAGAAGCCTAACTTATTATGAACTGAATACACGCAAAATCTTACAACACTTACTTTGAAGAAAAAAAATAAAGTATCTGTATTAAGAAAACTTTGTTATTAAAGAGTTATAGTGGGAATATTTCCTAAATATAGTCATTTATCCAGCCAAGTTTTGTAATTTCGATAAATTTATCATTCACACCATTCGTATTGATTAACCCATATTTCACCTTATATAAACACATTAGGTTACGTTACTTTCTAACAAGTTCTCCTTAGACTTGCTCTCGAAGCAACTTACAAAGTCCTACGTGACTTAAACGCTTTGGGGAAAGTCCCCAGACCCCGGGCAGAGAGTGTCAGGATATAACATCCTCAGCCTACCCACAATTCCACAACAAGCAATGAAGGAATTAACCAGAGCTGTGGAATAAGGGCAGGTGCTAGTCATAGCATAGGGATGCAAGTGGTAGGTACTACGCTTACTAGCATAATGGGGCTCACTCAAGGAGAACTTCTCACTCTTTTAATTTTATAATACGTTCCTGTAAAACTAGAAATACAGTGGTCCTTCCAGGTACATTAAATCATTTTTAATAAAGTACTTCCTGGACACTATGAATACAAAATAAATCTTACTTTGCTTTCTTCCATTGATTCATAGGGACTAGGTGGCTCATCAATACAAAAAAATTCTCGGACTGGCTTGCTGAAACAAAATTTTTCGCCAGTATTACACTTTCATCATTAGTTCCTGAACAATCTCAATTTAATGATTATTTAACATATATTAAGTTCTATATGTTTACAATAAGTGATATTTTATGACTTTGCAACTTACAGAAATATTTGTGTTAACTTACTGATGTCGCTTTTGTAAGAACGTTGAAGCAAAAATAATTTGTAGCATTACTCATGATATATTATTTATATATATAAATACCTATGTACTATGTCTTTAAAATATAAAATACGAACTTTTAAATTTGCTAGAAAACGTAATGAAAACCTACCATTTACTTATTTCTGGATGAGACATGATGCTGACAGTAAAGGCCTCGAGTCCAAGTAAACGGTCCTCCAAAAACGTCGGATCAAAATTATTACCAAACCATCGTTTTGGAGGCAAACTAAACCTAAGACCAGGAAAAAGCAGCTTTAGCTGAAAAAAAAAAGATATACAAGAAGAGCTAAGTGCTTTATGACAGTTTTGTTAGGTCTTCATATTGTTACGTCTGTGTTCGTTTGTTAATTTCCTGTATAATTTCTTCAGATGAACCTTTAGCGATACAAGTCTTTTATGAAATAAAACTAGTTTATTATTTCTCAATTCAACTTTGCAATACACTTAATTTCCACAGTCATTTTAGCTTCAACACACGCTATAATTCACAACGAACGATTCACGCACTATACTTACTACCGCGCTTGACTCAATTCTGCCTCTATCTCTACCTGTCTGCAATTATCTATGCCGTCACTTCTCGCCGGTCTTATATATACAAACAGAGGGCGTCTAGCAAACACTCGAGCCTTCAGGAACGTTCGAAATACTCGTTACCAGGGTCACGTGACTTCCGCTGTCGTAACACTGCCCCTTCCTTAGTATTGTTCGTCCCGAACAATAGGCACTTAAATTAAACCAATAGATAATTAACAGTAACTTAATTAAATGGACAGAAACTGCAAACAAAATTAAAATTCAACAAAGTCTCTTAATTTTAAGGGACATTTCTTCAGTACTGGTCTCTGTCTCGTTGGCTTCTGCTTCACATAAAGTTCATCTGCTCCATCAGGAATTGTCCTATTATCGGTAATAGTCACATCAGTGGTAGTAACTTCATGAAGGGCTTCACTGTTTCACTTTTCTATCATCCCATCGGACTGTGGGTGAAGTGGCATTGTTCTGATCTTTCGTATGCCAAACAACTTGCAGCATTAATGGAACACAGCTTATTCAAAGTTACGGCCGTGATCTCAATGCAGTTCGCATGGCATACCAGACCTGAAGAAGAAATCAGTAATAGCCGAAGCTACAGTTGTAGCTTCCTGATTTGGTATTGCATATGACTCAGGCCACTTGGTGAAATAATCCATCACCACACAAATGTACCTGTTTCCAACACGAGTTTGGGACAAAGGACCAGCAAAGTCAATGGCTACTCTCTACATTGGTGTGCCAACTTGATATAACTTCATTGGAGCACGTCCCTTACACTTGGGTTTCCTTTTAGCACAACATGTACTGCACGTCCTGCACCATTCTTCCACATCTTGCCTCATACCTATCCAGTGAAATCTCTGTCGTAGGTGACTCAGTGTCTTCTTAACTCCGAGATGTCCTCCTGTTAAACTATTATGGGATTGATGCAGTACAACTTACTGTAACTTTCTCGGTATAACCATTTGCCAGGTCGTCACTTTCCCATCTCCAGAGAAGAATACCA